GGTCTTTATTAGAAGCAATTTAGCTCACTTTAGAATCATATTTTATATCTGTAAGGCACTGCCCTCGGTCCACCCTCTCCTTCATTGGACTAGATATATCTTAAAGCTGAGCGAGTCACTTTTCCAAGCAATCACGTAAAACAGTGTAGATAGTTTTATTTTTCTGTGACTGCCTTTGATATTGACTTTGGAAAAGGTTTATCAAGGAAATTATGTATAATATATATATAATATAAATGTGTGTATATAGTTCTGTCATACACACACCTGATAATCAAAAATTTAAAAATATGCTTAAAACCAAGATTTTCTTAGCTGACTTGCATGTCTGAATTTAGTTTTCATGATGATGGGATCAACTTCACTGCAGAGAACCAGACCATTGGAAGCAGCAGTCCTGGAGACCTGGAGGTGGCAAAGGATGCTTGGGTGTGATAGAAAGGGAGGTCGTTGGACAGGAGCATGGGATGCAGCAGGAGAATGCATACCTGAGAGATGGGACCAGTCAAGACCTCTGAAATGCATTAGACTACACTATGTACTTCCTGATTGAATTTAAAAAGACCTGTTACAGTGACTGGGTGTACCCAGTCATAAAGCCTTGTTTACTTTATTCAGAACGTTGCTCACAGTTTAAGGGCAGATATACTTGAATACTTACTTGTTCCTGCCTTATAATGAGTGTTCAATGAATATTTGGTAAGTGATTGTTAAAAATATTTGCTTTACACTCATGTATATATATGAGTGTATATATATGTATATATTATATAGTTTCCTTTTCTCTTCCTATTTTCTCCTTTCCCACACTCCAGTTTCTCATTCCTTTTGAAGTTTCTTCCCATTTCACAATATCTATTATACGTTTTTTATCTTACTTATTCTTTCAGGTTTTTATACTAGGGAGACAGTATGATGTATACACATTCAAGTCTGATTTATTTCACTTACAAGTATGGTCTCAAGTTGCAGCCATTTTCCTATAAATGTCTCAAGTTTATCCTTCTTTCCAACAGAGTAGTACTCTATTTTATGAAAAATTCTACATCTTTTTATTCATTCCTAGGTTGACAGGCATTTGGGTAATTTCTAAGATTTAGCTATTACAAACTGTGCTGCTATAAACATGGATACACATATATCACTGTAGTATGTTTTTAATTCTACTGAGAAAATATCCAGAAGAGGAATAACTAGATCAAATCAGACCTCCAAACCTAGTTTCTTGAGGAAACTATGATATCCATAGTGGTTGCACCAGTCTGCATTCCCACCAACAGTGGAGAAGGGTTCTTTTTTCCCCACAGCCCTGCAACATTTGTTAGTGGATGGGTTTTTTTTGATGATAGCCATTCTTACTGGGAATCTTATTATCGTCTTTTAGATTGTAAATTCCAAGGGGGTAAACACTATGTATCTTTGATTGCTGTATTCCTGCTGTCTGGCTCAGAGGATGCCACACAATATTTGCTGAATAAATATTTTACAAATGAACAAGCAAAAATTTTTGTTGAACTCTTATACCTCATATACATTAGGTATTATACATTAGGTATATGAGGCTTAATACATCATATACATCAGGTATTATGTGAGAATCTAAGAGGTATGATATATACAAATTAGACCATATTATGTGGTTGAAAGATATTTATATAAGAAATTTAAAGAGGAAAGAAAACGTTCTTTCTATATCCATTTTTTATGATATAATTTGATGTTGTATCAGTGATTATCCAATGTGTACAAGGACTTTAAAATGTGTAAAACTAAGGCTCTGGAAGAGCTTCCATTGAAAGAAATTGTGTGCTTTGACCTATGTGATGTGAATACAAAATTTTGTTTTGTTCTTGCTGAATATGCAACTCTATGGTACGTTCTTATTGAAACACAAGATAGTTAAAGCTCTTCTGCTCCTTCAGTTGGTAGATTTTATTCAAAGTGAATTGAGATTCACAATTTCATGATACTATGCAGGCAGATGAAATATTTCATTCATTGTTGGAACAGAAAAGAGATAGGAAAGGATAAGAGACTTGGTTCAGAGAAATAGAGTCCAGCTCCTTACCAAATTGGACAGAGAATAAAATGTACATCTTAAATAAAATCTTTAATTCCTTGCATGGTATGCTATTATCATTGTTGTCATTAAAAGTACCCTTCCTGGATAGAAGGATAATATTAAATTAATTCAATTCTCTTTGTTATAGATTTTATTAAAGATGCTTTTGTGTACTCCTTTCAAAGCTAAAATTCTAGTATTCTAATACTTGTGAAATAATAGTGGATGAAATTTTCTGAGTCAGGTTAAGGTTTTGGCTGTGCTTCTGACAGGCAAAGAGAAGAAGTAATTTTTAAAAAATTACCACCATGCTTCATATTTCAGAGGTATAAACTTAAAATTTTATGTCTACTAGAATTTTTATTATGAACAGATTAAATCGATCAGATCATTTATATTTTTGAAGGAAACTAGATGATGTAAGATTATACACTGTTTTAATTAACTTTATTGGTACAATTTAGATATACATAGTGATCACATTCATCATAGGGAATTTGTACCTGTACATGATAGATCTTGATTCTTTTTTTCCCATTCTCCTTCCCTCTCTTTAACCCTTCCTCCCCTTCTTATAGACAAAAACTTTGTTTCCATTTTTTCCTCCTTTTCTTTTCCATTTCTTCCTTTCCATCCTGTCCTATTATTTCACTTCCAATTTATTTCACCTAACAGTATATTCACAAGGTGAATCCATTTACCTAGAAATTTCTCAAGCTTATCCTTTCTATAGATGAATAGTACTCCATTCTACAGAAAAGCCATGTCTTCTTTATCCATTCATCAGTTGATGGGCATCTGGGTTGTTTCAAGATTTTGCTATTACTAGTTTCTATATAGATGGGTGCACATATAATGCTGTGGTATGATATTTTTAATTCTTTCAGGAAGATATCAAGAAGGTGAATAGTTTGGCCAAATAGACCTCTTGTTTAGTTTTTTGAGGAATCTCCACACTGATTTCCATCCAGTCTGCACTCCTATCAACAGCTGAGAAAAGTTCATTTTCCCTCACAGCCCTGCAGCATTTATTATTGGTTGATGTTTTCATAATAGACATTTTTTCTGGGGTGAGACGTAATATCAGCATTTTAAAAATTTGCATCTCTTAAAAGCTGAACATTTTTTCATGGACTTATTTGGCATTTCTACTTCTTTATCTTGACAAGTATGTATTCATTTCAGATGCCCATTTTAGGACTGGGTCTTTAAATTTGAAGGTATGATTTTTTTGAGTTGTTTATATACTTCACATATTAGTCCCGATGAATAGTTGGCAAAATTTTTTCCAACTCTGTGGATTGTCTCTTCACTTTGTTAGTGGTTTCCCTTGCCATGCAAAAGCTTTTTAATAAGATCTAAGTTGTCTATTCATTGTAATATTTGCTACGCAGTCAAGGTTTTGTTCATAAGGTCTTTGCTTACACTGGTGGTTCAAGAGTTCTGCTTATTCTCTCTTCCAGCAGATTTAGTGTTTCTATTTTAATATTTAGATATTTGATCCATTTTGATTTTTGTTTAGTGCATGGTGAGAGACAGCAGTCTAGTGTTAGTCTTTGGCATGTGGAAAGTCAGTTTTCCCTGTACCTCATATTAAAGAGCCTGTCTTTCTTCCAGTGAAGGTGTTTGGTCCCTTTGTCAAAGATATAGTGGGTGTGTGTATTTGAAGTTGTTTTTGAATCTTATTATCTATCCTTTTGATCCTCAGGTCTATTTTTTTTCTTTTTCTTCTTTCTGATACTATGCTATTTTTGGCAGGGTAGCTTTATAACATTATTTCAATCAGAGTTGTGATTCCTCCTGCCTTGCATTTGTCACCTAGAATTGCTTTTGATATTCTAGATCTCTTGGTTTCAAGTTAATTTTAGGCATGTTTTCCCTAATTCTATGAAGTATACTTACTATTGGTATTATGATTCAGATTGCATTAGATCTGTGTAACAATTTTGGGAGAATGGTCATTTTCACTGTTAGTTTTTCTTACTCAAGAACAAGGGATATCTTTCCATTTTCTGATATCCTCTTTGACCTCCTTTGGCAGAGTACTGTGTTTTTTATTTACTTTGTTATATTGATTCCTAAATATTTCATTTTTTGGATGCTTTTGTAAAAAGGGCAATTTCTTTAATGTCTGTATTAGAGAGTTTGTTATTTGTGTACAGGAATGCTATTGAGCTTTGAGTGTTGATTTTGTAACCAGTTACGCTACTGAATTTGCTTATTAAATACAGAAGTCTTTTGGTGGAGTTTTTGGAGCCTTTTATGTCATGTGTCATGTCTTCTCAAATAATGATAATTTAACTTCTTCCTTTTGTTTCTACATTCCTTTTATTTTTTTTTCTATTGTCTAATTGCTCTGGCTAATATGTCCAGAATTATATTGAATAGAAGTGATGATACTGGGATTATCTTGTCTTCTTCCTGGTTTTAAAGTGAAAGCTTTCAGTTTTTGTCCCTTTAGTATGATGTTGGCTGTTGGTTTGTCATAGATGGTTTTTATCAGATTGAGAAAAAGGTCATCTATTCCAATTTTGTGTAGGAATTTTAACATGAATATGAATTGGACTTTGTCAAATGCTTTTTCTGCACCTGATGAGATGACCATCTGATTTTTGTTCTTGGCTCAGTTTATATAATGTTACATTTATTGATCTGTGTATATTGAACCATTCCCACATCCTTTTAATGAATCCCACTTGATCATGGTAAATAATCTTTTTTATGATTGGTTACATTCTGTTTGCAAGTATCATTGAGAATTTTTACATCTGTGTTCATTAGGAAGATAGGCTATGGTTCTCTTTTTTTGGGCTGGATTCTTCTCTATTTTTGGTATCAGGGTGATATTTGCTTCCCAGAATAACTTTGCAAGTATTGTTTTCCTTTTAATCATTAAAGAGTTTGAGGAATAGTGGCATTAAATCTTCTCTAAATTTCTAAAAATACAGAATGCTTCATGAATTTTCATGTCATCCTTGCCTTGGAGCCATGCTGATCTTCTGTCTGTCATTCTAATTTTAATATATGTAGTATTGAAGCAAGAACTATACATTCTTTTGTAAAAATATCCAAAATAATTTTTAGAGTTGATATTTTCCTAAATGTAGAGTTGAATATTTCTGTACATAAAAATAAGTTCATACTAATTTTAGGAATAAAATCATTGTAATTGAATGGAGCATTTCTTGATAAAAATTCCATTTAGTAGTACTCGTCTTTAAAATACTGATTTTAGACTAATATTGTAGAAAATGTATGCATTACACTTTATATACCAAAATGAAAATATTGTACTTCAGAAGCAAATGCTGCTGTTTGCAATACTAACCATTTGTCTGTTTTCTCTGATACTTCCACATTTCAAAATACTGCAGTCAAATTTTACTGTCTTTCCTTACATCTTACTCTGATATGAGGTTGTCATTCAATTTCTAGAATATTTATGTTTATCTTAATACTTTGTGTAATCACATGATTTAACTTGCATTGAAGCTTAAAAGTGATTTTTGTCATTGCTTTGTCTCATTTTCAGATAGTTTCTGAAGGTAAAAAAATAGTAGAGCTATGGGCTCTACTTGATGACTTACACCAAGTGATACATATAAAAAAATATGTGCCTCAGATTTGGTTACTTTGCTGTGTAGGCTAGTGTAGCATGATCATAAGCTGGTGTAGAATGAATTAAGTCCAAAACCTGAATGCGTGACTATATGTGGTTGCTGGAGGGAAGAGGAATGAAGCATTAATTCCTTTAAATTCTGAGTATTCTCTACCAACTTTCCCCATTGTCACCAAATTCTTTTGTTCACTTTCCCTTGAGACAGAAAAATTCAGTGGTGGATAAGGAAAATACTAAGAAAGTGAAAAAAATGCAGATGAGTGAGTATGGAAGGAAAAAGTAGAATTAAATGTTTCTATATAAAAGTATAAATATGTGATAAATAAAATACGTGCCACAACAGAGCAGTCTGGTACAAAGGCTCCTGTATTGGGTCAGTAATGTCCTCCAGAGGTCTAGCAGTGAAAGGTTAAAAATTTTCATATATTACCTCATCTACTCTTACATAGTAATAATTTTACATTCCAGTGTTTTACACAAGAAAACTGGACAAAATAGTTCCGTAATTTGTCCAAGTTCACAGAATTAATAAAATGTTGAGACACTGTTGGAATTGAGGTCTCTGATCCCAAAATTTGTCCTTTTAACCCCTGCACTTAATGAATGTTTGTTCTATTGAATTGAGATACAAGTTTTGCTTTTGGTCATTTGGTTGATGTGATCACTTTTATAGCATAAGAACTGGCTGGATTCTATTTCTTGAGATGATTCTATTTGTTGAGAAACATGTAATTTGAGCTTCATTATTACAAAGAAAGAAATTTTGCTGAAAAATAAGATAATTATATTTTGATTTTAACAGATCAATTGGTTCAAAATGTGACTGCCTTTTAAAAAATTAATTTTGTTGATATACGTAATGATCACATTCATCATAAGGAATTTGTACCTGTACATGATATATCTTGATTCTTTTTTTCCCCATTCTCCTCCCCTTCTTTCAACCCCTCCTCCCCTCCTTACTTATAAAAGCTTTGTTTCCATTTTTTTCTTTTTTATCTCATATCCCTTTCACTCCATCCCCCACTCCCCTTCCCATTTGACTGTTTTAATTTTAAATCTGTGGAATGACACCATAATGGTGAAGGTGAACATCTTTTCCTTTAGTCTTAGGTATTAAGATGTTCTATACCTGTTCTGTAGCCTAGAAACAAAGAATATAGATGAAATGGAGCTGGATTTCTCAGAACATAGTACAATGCAGCCACCAGTAAGGTGTTTAGAACTTTTGTAACACTCTTTGTCAAACTACTTTTTCTGATTATTCACAGCAGAATGAGAAGTAGTATTTGGCTTAGTTTATGGATGTTAGTAGAAGGTGATCACATCCCATGGTTAAATGAAGTTTATGATAATTTGTATATTAAAGCAATTTATGTTTTTCTCTTCCATCTTAGCATAGAAACTTGAATATTTTTGATTTTGCAAGTTTGAAAGTAGGCACAACATATATGTCAGTCAACATTTATAAGTGTTGAGGCAGGAGGATCTCAAGTTCAAGGCCTGGCTGGGCAATTTTGCAAGATACTGTCTCAAAATGAAATTTAAAGAAGTGTTGGAGATGTAGCTCAGTGGCAGAACACTTGCCTAGCATGGTGCACAGGGGGCCACACTAATGGGCAATATAGAGCTGTCGATAATCTGAACACATTACTAATTTTAGCAATGTTTTAAGAGTAGTAAATGTCTTTTTAAGTGTTTGTAATTTTTTAAAAGGCAGTGTAAATGTTTTAAAAGTGTTAAATTAAAAATTAAGAAACTAAAAGTCATTTCTCAAAATCAGTTCATAACAATTGTAATTTTAAAGGCATATTCTTTAACTCTTTTGGTTATGGAAATATTATTTCATTTATTTTAAGTATCCTATAAATATGGTGTTGATGAATATAGGAATAGATAGCATTAATATATAATTCAGCAGCAAGATAGTAATAGTAGATTACTGCAATCATTTTGTCAGAAAATTTTAAAGTGACATTTGGCTATCATGGAGTCTGAAATGATCTCAAAGAAAAGTTGAGATTTTAAAATGTTTATTTTTTTTCATACCTCTTTTTATTTGGAGATTTTCACATTTTCCCTATGTGGCTGGCCTTTCTCATGATTTGGTATCTGTCGGCAGTGCTTGGGCATGAGAAACTATGAACAAAATGTTGACAAAGCCATCATAGGAAAGTAGTCATGATGAATTCATTGCCATTGTATACGTTTTGTGTGCAATCTACCGGTTGACAGTTTGAACTTCTTCTTTAATGCATATTGCTTTATCTAAGAAACAGATCAAAGATAGGCATTCCCATTGATGCTTAGCGAAGTCACACATCCTAATGACAGGGTTGCTTGCTGTGCCTAACTATGAGTCATTTGTCAGCACGTTGCTTTGAATGCCCCAGTATGACCAATAAAACAATTGGGAAAATAAAAAATTTATTGTGAAAGTATTCAGTGTGTTAAATTTTACTATGGAGGTCTTCATAATAATATCTGAAAGTCATCTCTTTTTTTCTTTACTTTTTAACAGATGTTTTGGCAGCAGTGGCAACACTGAGAATTGTAAGGGACAGGAAGGCAAAACAAACCAATAACTGCCATCAATTAAAAGACTCGAAAGGATTTGCATCAGAATCATAGTGAATTCAAATTTGTAGTGGTTAAAGTGTTGGGGGAGGGGTTTGGTGCCATAAACAAAGTCTCCATAAATTTCACCAAATTACTTAATTAGAGATTGTTACTAGGAATGGATTGGGGAGTGAGATTGTATAAATCAGAAAAAGTTTTGATTTTCTTTTAAACTTTTTTATTCTAATGCATTCTTATCTTTGAATTTTATCTTGATAGTGGATCAAACAGTTCAGATTTATGTCACTGTAATGCTGATATAATGACAAAAAGTGCTATTACTAATGTACTGCTCATAAATGAATCATATTCTCCCAGAAGAACATGGTGGACAGATAGCAGCAGCTACAGAGACTCTCTGAAAGACCTAGCTTAGAATTCAGGAATGGTGCAGAGTAAGGAATTATAAGCAAGAGGAGATATGCCCTGCTGACCCTAGAGCAAACTGGGATGAGAGAAACCAACTGGGAATGCAATCCTGGTGCTATAACTGGAACAGAAAAGCCTCATTGTGGAAGCTGAGCCTGCGCCATTGGAAGCCACGATTTGGGTTTCCCGCTGCCGCCACTGCTGCATCTACATCCGCTAGGCAGGGAGAGAAACGCATGAAGGTGAACGGAGTTGAAAGCAGGATGGATGGGGAGCTGTGCATTGACCCGTGGTGAGTGAGAGAAACTGGGACTCTTCCATGGTCTAGGAGACTCCAACAGAGGACATTCGGGGACCAGGCAGACTTGTGGGAACAGGGCGCTGCAGTGACTTCAGTCACATATCCCCCTCTCAAGCGGGATTGGTGAGCAGTGCCTAGCCTATGTGACACTGCTGGCTGAGACCTAGTAGGCTAGCACAGCCCAGGTCCCAGCACCTGAAGGTAGATTGACCTGGAGGAGTGTGCCCTGCATTGGCTGCCTGGTCTGCAACTTCCTGGTGCGGTGGGCGGGAACACCTAGCCGGCGCAATTCAATCAGACTGTGGCTGACAGGGAAGGAAGCTGGGCCTCCTATATATGCTTGCATATATAAGGAACAAAGAATATGGGAAGAGGCAGCAACAAGAAAGGGTCCTCGGCCCCCAATCCTGAGAAAGAGGCAATAGTAGACACAGCACCAATAGGTATAAAGCGCTATCTCCAAAGCCTCATAGACAAGTTCAGGAATGAAGTTATTAATGACCTGAAGCTAGACATAAGCAGAATAGTTAGAGAAATGCTAAGCACCACCCAAGAAAAAAAACAGATGGTGGAATGGAAGAACAGAAAAAGAGGGGAGAATTGTTTGATGGAGAAAATAGAGAAAGCATAGAATACGTGAAGCAGGTTCAAAGAGATTACCAGGAAACTAAAAACTCTATCAAAAACTGGCATAACAGCTTGAAAGAAACTAAGGATAGATTATCTGAACTGGAAGGCAGATTTGTAATATGGGAGCATGAAATGAAAAACTTCTTAAAAATAACAAAGAAACAAACAGCAATAATACAAAGACTAGAAGATGATAAGAGGATCTATAACTTAAGAATTAAGAACATAAAAGAAGTAGGGACACAAACAAATGAACTACAAAAGCTACTCACAGAAATAATCCAGGAGAATTTTCCTAATTTAGCAAAAGGTAAAGATACTCAGTTGTATGAAGCATACAGGACCCCAGCCACCTACAACCCAAACAGAGCAACACCCAGGCATGTAGTAATTAAAATTCCAGAAATCTAATACAAGAACAGAATATTAAAAGCCATCAGAGACAAGAAACAGATCACTTACAAGGGAACACCCATTAGAATTATAGCAGACTTCTCGGCATAAACCATC